AATCAAAGGGATGAAAAACAGTAAAAAGATGCATGTTATGTTTCCCACACCTCACTCAGTAACTTATTTACCTCTTCCTGTTCTGCAGAAGCCTGTCAATGACTCATTTATTCATATCAGGTGTTTTGGAGCAGAGAAACCTCTGAGATATGATGGATGGTGGCTCTYGATTGGACAGACAGACAGGTGGCCATTTTATTACATATCAGGATTTCTGATTATTTTTGATTGGGGGGTACAGACATGTGGTCATAGTCCTGCTCACCTCCTCCATTTTTGTGGCACAAATATGGGAACCTCCAGAGGTTCCCCAGTGCAACCATTGTTCCTGCTAYGGTCAGCAGGAACTCCAGCTTGCTCGCTCACTGGCCTTGGTTTTGCAGCTTCTCTCCAGAGCTGTCCTCTTGACTGAGCATCTCACCAGCTCCTTTGGGAAGCTCCCTAACAAAAATCACAGTTATTTAAGAAAGAAATACCCCAAAGTGCCCCCATTGTACATCGAGATTCATAAAGCAAGGTTTGTCAAACCTTGGTTCTTCAGATTAGACCRAGCTGCTCATAATTTTAGACTTCAGAGGTGTTCGATCAGCTTGAATAGAGACCACTTACCCCTCTATAACGCTCATCAGTCTGCTCAGAATTAAACTTGACTTCTCCAAACTGAGGTCCAATCTGCAACAGGTAAGATGGTAACTGTTCATACCCTTTTCCATGACCCCCAAATTCAAACAATTCCTTAAAACTAAAAAAAAGTGACTCATCGGTCCACAGTAAGATATTTTCATAGCTTCATTTTAATATTAGAATTACATTTACATTTTCTGAACAAATCCACAGTCTATAATTGATAAAATCCAGGGTAAAAGTCAACAAATGTCAGGCTCACTTTATTTTTATTGTTTTTTTTTTTTTTTTAGATGAAGCAGAGTTCAGATAAGTACACAAGAAATCTTTGTGTGGAATGATTCAAGAAGAAAAAATGACCCAAACATGTTTTTCCCCCCATTGGAGTCCAATAATAATAATAATAATAATAATAATAATAATAATAATAATAATAATAATAATAATAATAATAATAATAATAATAATAAGTTAATCAGTTTCCTTCCCGGTCTAATGACGTATGATAAAACCATCACTGACTGCATTTAAAAGCCATGAATGGACACAGAAACATACAACAAATATCTTGAAGAAAGCTTTTCTTTTTTTTCTCAAAACAAGACAAAAAGTTAAAAGTTCTCCCGCTTTCAGCAAAAATATTGAGCATTGCTAAACCCTTCAGCCGTGAATTCAGAGTTTACATCAGCAGCAGAGTGTCTCTCAGCGCGTCGGGGGGTTACCTGCCGTTCCTCTCAGGTTACAGTTTTTATCATGCTCAGGCATATTTGGCACTCATTCCACTCGTTAATTCATATAATAGTCACAAAGTTTTATTCCTGACTGCACATAAATACACAAAATCTGTCACAAAAATAAAAATAAATAAATAAATAAACAAGTAAGTAAATAAAATGTACAGATTGGACCCGTACATGTTAACATCACCTTCTGGTGGCAAATACAGCCTGTACCAGAAAATAACAAATAAAAAAAAAGATTAAACAGAAAATACACAGTAATAACATGAGATATTACAGTTTTCTGATACTTTCAGTATGTGACAGATTTATCTCACAGAATGGACAGAAAGTTGAGGTTTTACAACATGGAGATTATAATGACCTGTGGCAGATATTTCTTTTTAGAAACGATGCACAAAATCACTGAAGTGATGATGATTAGAAACCTTCCCAGAGGATGAGGATGATGATGATGGTGGTGGTGGTGGTGTGTAGCACTGATGCCCCTCGCCTTTCTGAGCTCACTGCATTCTTAGAATCCAATGTTCTGGGTTTGATTTTATCTTAAACGCTGATTAGATATAAACTGAAAAGTACACAGTTTCGTTTTTTTACATTCCTACTCATGATGAAAGCAAACATCAAATGTAAAATCCGATTGTCATGGACTTTAATTATGACGATGAACAGGCTCCTGAATCAGGTTCCTTCTTTTTTTTCATTTCAAGGAATAATTACCATTGAGAAAAGCATTTTTGTATTTTTGCCAAAAGTTAAAGCAGAACAATGATACGACTCTCAAGTCTTGTTTCAAAGAAATAAAGAAACTGAAAAAAAAAACTTTCCTGTTGGCTGGTTCCAGTTGTCCCGATTAAAACAAATAAACCAGCACATGGTTTCCTGCATCGGTTCCCAGAAGGCAAGAGCCTTTGGTCTGTTAGTAGGTTTTCCCTCTGCAGAGTAAAATAACACTGATCTGAGAGTTTTCACAGCTTTCAGATGGGTTAAAGACAAAYGCTTGGTCTTCTCTTTCTTTATAAACGTACACAAAAAGTCAAAGTATGTGTTATTGAGCTGTGTTTACATCAGTATAACAGTTTCCAAGTGACTGAATATGAGAGCTCTCTGAATAGGTTCWGACAAAATAAGATAAATTTAATATTCAGTGGTGATAAAACAAAAATGTTAATGACTAAATAAATGACTTGAGTTTCTTTTAGATTTTGAAGGTGGTACACCAGAAAAAAAGAACATTAAATTTGGTTTTGACACAAAGAGGCTTAATCTACACTGACAAGAGAGTGATATCATGATCTTAACTCTTAACTCCAAGCAAGACGACAAATTCATTTGTTACACTTTCTTTTATTTTTTACATCACCTTTAAATTGGAATTGGCACATTTTTAAATCTTCACGTAAAACGTGATTCTCTTTGAATCCCCTTTCAGACTCCAAACTTTAGCCAGGCACTGATTTTCATTTTTTTAAACAAATTTCTTTATATTAAAAAAAAAACTATTGCATCTTTAACTTATCCCATTTGAATACACAAGGCACAGTGATAAGATTTCTCTAAAATGAAGATATTTAAGTGATAAACATAGAGCAAGACCCCGCTCTTTTTTTCTTTTAAACATCCCGCTTCAGTAAATTTACCTCAGGGAAAGTTTTTAACAGGAGTTGATCACTCAGCTTGTGGTTGCCAGCTCTCAGACGAACCCATCATGATTTGAGCAAAACAGCCTCCTCAACAGAAGAAACAGAAACACTGAGCGTGGCATCATTCTGGTCACAAAGAGGTAAGAGCTGCACTTCGACTGACTCCCATTATTTCTTTGTAAACTCAGAAGCTGGTCGGCAAAGATGCTGTAAAAGCTGGTCTGGGTAGCGTGAGGTTACGTTTGATAAAACTCCTTTTAAATGCTTTTAAAACTACAATAATCTAGAAAACTGACTCGAACTACCTGCTGATTCCTGTGAGCTGTTATCAGATTAAATAATAGAATCTAATAAAGCATGATTATGTTTGGTATGGCACTTGTAATGCGAATTTAAAAGGAGTTAAAAAGTAAACATTGGACCTGCAATAACAAGACTGCTGGTTTAAAGAGAAAGAGGAGAAAAAGAAATACATCACAGATCCAAAGACTATTTCACACATCACATGTTGGTTCATTTTAAACATAACCATGGTTCTGCTTTTATTGCAAAAATGTAAACATCCATCCTTCCTACAGCGAGTCCGTCAAAAATGTTAACTGCAAGATGGTCATTTTTTAAATGGTTTTATTTTAAATAAAACAATCAACTTCTGACTTTGGTTATTTGAGGCTTTTCTTGAGGGTTTTTAGTAATAAAAATTCAAATTCATAATATTACTTCATARTATGAACTAAATTAACAATTGACTAACAATCAAATAAACATACTAATGTACATTTTTACTAAAAGGTACTCGTCTACAACTGATTAACTTTTGAAGTCAATCCAAATGRAGATGACAGCCACAGCTTCCTGACCACAGTCGGCACAAAACTTGTTAGAACTCAGTATTTTGCAGATACTGAGTGAAAATTTGGCGTGGTGGCAGTTAGGGCTGGGCGATAAAATGATATATGATGGACACGTGATCAATAGCAACAGAAAATAGAGATGGATAGAACATTAATAATTTCCCTTACAGAAGCTTACACAAGTTTACAGCATTTTATTTAAGAAAATAAAAATTACGGATGGACCGGAACCAGAGGTTGTGACAACAACAGCTATAAAGGTCTGTAAAATCACTACCACCCTCCTCTATCCACAGCAGTACAATTGATAATTTATGCATCTTCCTCTGGCTTCATAAAATAACTGCGATCAGCCCAACGCTGCTTTCAAAGTTTACAGAAATCTACAAAATTTACGTAGAAAAATATAAAAAAAAGAACAACGTAGAGGGAAAGGAGACAATGAGTGCGACGGCTTGAGAGGAGATTGTGGATGAAAGGCGAAAGGTAACCTTCTCAGAGAGACAACAGCTTTACCAACTGAGCYACCATGCTGCCCTGAAACTAAATCAATACATGGTTTGTATAAAAAAGCCAATAAGACATTAACCTTTGTCAGAAGTTGAGAAAAGACCAACTTGAGCGAACACTTCAGTACGTCTGTCTTGAGGAAATCTCTCTAGCGTTCTTTAAAAAGACGAGATCCTCAGTGGATCTGTGCTTCCCTGCCGTCTCCTACGAGCCGCACACTTGGTGGGAAAACAATGCGATGGAGGTGAAACTTTATCTGAAATGGTCCATGACATTTCTGCTGCTTAGAACCTCACCCCCACAAAAAGAAAAGAAAATTAAAAATGAGAAGACAGCAACACGGTTTTATATCAACAACATGGTAAAAAGTCTGACATCACATTATTTTTCATTTTTGACGAATACCTGTAGCTTCCACGGGCTACTGTTAGTATGTACAAGTAGCAGCAAAAAACCACCATAACAGTGATTATCAGACAGAAAAATTATCTTTTTTTTTTACATTTTCCCTTCAAAATGGCTATAAATGCAGATGAGGTGGAATGTGCAGTTTTTATTATTTTAGTTTATTTCTTATAAAGCTGGATTTCTTTTATTTTCAGTTTGTCCCTCCCCCATTCGTTTTCACTTTGTGCCTTTCTGTCCTTCATATTTCCAAAAATAACAAATGAAAAAAAAAATCTTATGGCACGCTTGATTTTATTCATCCTACAGTTAGCAATTAGATTTTGGCACTTAAAATATAAATACGATTGTTGTTTTTAAAAATATATCTATGTAATTAAGCACAGTAATAACAGTAAAACACCAGCTTCCAGCGATAATTTGAGGTGAAACTTTGGTCTCCAGATTATCAACTGGACTACAAAACGCTGGTCGTCGGATGGAATAAATATGAAATAAATAAATATTTTCACTGAGATGGCTAAGAAAAAGCCTGAACGAAAATTCATGATGGCGTGATGCAACGACATCTTTTAAAACAAAGTCTTTACACCTGACATATATTATAAAATCAGAGCATTTCCTGTGACGTTCTCTTTTAAAGTGACAGTTCCGATCTTTTAAAGTGGAGTTTGGAGGAGAAAGTTATGAACAGTAATATCTTACCTGTTGCAGGAAGCTCTTTGATCAGTCTCAGTTTGGAGGACTTGTGAGCTAACAATCGCTCAAAGAGCAGCTAAGAAAAATGTTTTATTTCCAAATGTTCACAGCCGTTTATGTAAATACTATTTTAGGGAGAAAAATAACATTGCACAGTTATTTACATAAATTTTCCTGATTTGCGAGCAAAAACAACAATAGCAGTTGAACTTCCTGTGAAGACTGTGGCGCTTATTAAAAATATTTTCATAATAATCCTGCTAAAATGACAGTTTAATGCAAAACTGACTGGTGTAAGATATTTTAATAATCTTTTGCATAAACTTTAATAAAATATTTTAGATTAAAGCTGCTTTCTGACAGACCCCTAATTTTTTGTTTTAGTTTCCTTTTTATTGTTATTTTTCTTCTTTAACTTATGGATCAATCGGAGCAGCCGTTAGCTCACCAATCTGGTCAGAATAAAACTCTGTTTCTCTAAAAATCAAGTAGTTTAAAGAGCCATCCACAACAGGTAAGGTATTAACTATTCATAACTACTCCACAGAAGCCTACCTCATAAAATCATGACTCTCCGTTAAATGCCACTATTTGAGGTTCCACTTCTTTTAATCCTATCTACATTGCTGAGTTAAGAATGTCCATTTGTCCCCAATGTTTGATTTTCTTAATAAAAATTAAAAAAAAAACATCCTGTGGCTCCAGTTGTGTGGGAGAGGTGACAAAATGGCCCAGATCAAAAGTGCAAAGTGAACCCCCTCCGTTCCCACAAGTCTGGGATGATATTCAGTGGGACGGTGAGTGAGGATGATATGCTACAATTTCAATTTATACATATTAACAGAACAGATCTAAAGCAAATCAATCCACATGTGCTACCTTTTTTCACTATAACACAATCCTCCAAATATCTCAATCTGTTCAATTCACGTAATTCCCTTTTTCAGCTCGGATTGGATAAAACAACTCCTACAATATGATTCAATACAATTCCATTGGATTGTGTGCAAAATGCTCTTCAGGTATACAGTAACAAATGTACAAGCCACGTGATTAGACTTAAGTGCTAGTGATGAGGTATGAAAACTGGCCTTTATCTGGGAGGAACCACGACCTTTCCTTCAACTACGCTTCTGTTATGTTAATAATTAGAAAAACAAAAACAAAACATGAATGTATCGTGAGTAAAATTGCTAACTACTGAATGGCAATGACCACCTTCACTGAAAAACAAAGATCTCTGCTGGATCACGATCGAGCATGAAGTGTCACATATACATATACATGATATATATGAGGCTTAATGCTGTTAGGAGATTTAAACGCCAAATATCTGATCAATTAAGACAAAATAAGGTCGCAAATTCTCCTCAGAGGTTTTAAATTTCTTTGTACAAACTGTGAGTTTCTAATGAGGTACCTGTACCGGTTTGGTCGGCCCGACAGATGAGTGGGTGGATGACAGTGAAGGGTCCAGTGTGCTAACGTGAGGATAAGCCTTCATCTGTCTTCGTCGTCCCCCTTCAGTTTGAGATTCGTTTACAGAGGCAGGTCTGTGCTGTTGTGGCGAGTCTTTCTGGAAGTCCCATCATCCCTGGGCAGCGCTTTCTGCAGGTTGGACATGGCAGCCGTCTTCTTCAGGTCAATAACCGCGTAGCACTCGCTGCGTCGGGGTGCCAGCGGCCCACATTTTTTGGGTGGCAGGCGCTGGTGCTGTGGCTGGGCGCCCCCGCTGCCGAGGGCCTGGCAGGGCGGTTCTCCCTCCAGGTCCACCTGGATGTAATTCAGCTGCCGCGACGGAGGCATGTGGCCGTGCTCGCAGCCTCCGACCCCTGAATGCGACCGTCTGCGGAAATCAAAGCTAAAAATTCGGCCCCCGCTGTCCGGTCGACACGGCCGAGGGTGAGGGGGGCAGGCGTGTCGAAGCCGGGGAGGCTGGACCTGCTCCGTGTTCACATAGTTCTGAAGGGCGTCTCTGTGGATCCCCCGACTGTCCTGGTGGTACCCGTTGGGTGTCCCCGGGCCTTCTGAGAACTCGTACTCGTCGAAGTCGTCCTCTTCCTCTTCGTAGTCATCCTCGTCCTGGTCTTCGTCGTCCTCCTCCTGCTCGTTGTCCCGCTGCAGCGCGCTGTACTCCCACACGGGCGGCAGAGACGGCAGGTTCTCGTAGTTCAGAAGAGCTGTCCGACGGTGGCCTCCGCCCAGACCCCTGTCGCAGGCGTAGCCCTGCGGAGGGAGCGACGATGGGCCGTGGGACAGCGAGTGCATGAGGGGGTGGGGGTGGCTGTCGCAGGTGCTGCTGCTGCTGCTCGAGCCCACCGACTGCGACACGCTGCTGGGGCTCAGGCGCTGCTTCCGGCCGCTCCGCAGGCCGTTGATGTTCTCGTAGGTGAGCTCGCCGCTCTGGCAGCTGTCCGACTGCTCATGGCTCGGGTGCCGGTGCAGGTGGTGATGGAAGTGGTGGTAGGAGTGGGAGTTGCACAGATGCATGGTGGGCTCATCTCCCTCCGTCTCGGAGCCCGTCGCGCCCTCTGCCGGCTGATGGGCGTGAGGATTGTGCCCGAGCCGCTCCCTCTCCAGCAGGTGGCGCTGTGCGGGAGTGGGGCCCAGCATGAACTTCACTTCCTGTGAGGACGGCTGCAGGAACACCTGAGGGTCTTTGCGCTCTTCAAGCGGACAGCATCGCAGGGTGGGTTGAGGGTTGCCTTGGCCTCCGACGGGCATGGCTCCCCGTGTTGTTTCGGGCAAAGCGCTGGGTCGCACTTCGGGCAGAGAGTGCACGCAGTGACGCATGGAAAGGTCCCCCTCCATACTCACAGTGTTGACGTAGGTGTGAGTCTGTTGGGAGAAACAAACGCAGGTTCAAACYGTGAACCTTCACGGATCAAGCCTACAGACAAACAGGTCTCACCTGGTCTTCCAAAGCCATGAGGCTGTGCCGATGATCGTCAGAAAGAGAGGGCTGGGAGGAATCACCCCTGATTGGATAGCCGGGGTATCCATTGGGAAAAGACTGGACAGGAAAGGCTGGAGCTGCAAACACAACATACAAACTCAACTCGGTTTGGTTTTCTGCCAGTYAAAAACTGTCTTCACTCAGCATTCAGCACATTTATTCAAATTCATCAATCACACGGTGGGCAATCCTAGTACTCRAGGGCTGCTACCCTGCATGTTTTAYTTGCTTCTCTGCTCAAACACACCTGMTTTGAATGAATGAATGATTACCAGMCTTCTGCAGAACTTCAATCAGCTGTGTTGGAGCAGAGAAACAAGTCAAACATTAGGATCGTGTGGCCCTAGAGGACCAGAATTGCCCAGTCTTGATCTATACACTGACTGAACATCATGGAAATAGTTTAGCTTAGCAGTATGCAAGTATCATCAAGGTAACAAGAACCCCCAAAAAACAGATTAACTGAGGATTTTTTTCCTGCTGCTATAAAAAATAAAAACCCAAACCAAAATGAGAGGTCAGAAGAAGTCTGATCTGATGTGTAAAACTTGCAGGCATTGATTTATTTCCGCCACTTGGGGGCGCTGGAGAGGGTTACTCGTGATGTGTGGGTAACCTGTCAAACTGTTTACACACCCAGCTGCTGTGGAGCGGCACTGTCGCTCACTTTTAGTCAGGTGCCTCGTGTATTAATATTTCAATGTGTGACAAACACCTGCTTTGGATGTGTTAGTGTTATCACCCACTTATGATTGAAATATTTAACTTTTTGAACAAAAAATAGACAGAAAACGTCCATTACAGTTTATCTTCAGTTGTACGCAATACGATAAGATCAAGAAAATTAAAAAATCTCAAGTGTGCCTTTTTATCTGAAACTATTATAAACTGAATTCAAAATAAATTAATGTATAACTTATTATTTTATTTTCAAATGAGAAAATTTGACTTACTGTCCTCTTTTTTTCCCCACCCTTCCCACTTGAACTTGGCATTTCCTGTTATGTTTTATGTCTTGTAGTGCAGCGATCAGAGAAGCCAATCGGAAAATTTAAAAAGCCATCATTAGAATTTGCTTATATAAGCTACAGTTCTTAACGTGGGTCCGTAAAAACGTAAAGAAAACACCCACGGTGAAGCCGAAGGTTGGTGCAGCCAAAAGCGTGAGGCAGAAAAAAAAAGATGACAAAGTGTGACCGGCGTGTTAACCAGCAACGGCTCATCTTCATCTTGGTTGAGCATTTGTGGAGTTTTTTTTTTTTTTTACTTGGACCAGTAAAACTCAGAACTCAAGGTCAGATTGTTTTTAAAAGGATGAATCATTACCAACTATTATTGGCTGAACTGCAGGGGGAAAAAAAGGGAAAGCTGTTTTATTCAGAGTGTGTGAAAACAACACTGAGYTGCTCTATACATTTGATGAAGTGAAACTGATGTGGGGGCTACCGTGCGTTCTTAAAAGTGTATTGTGCATAATTTGTAAAGAGACCAACAATTAAAAAAAAAAGTCACAAACTGCAGAACGATTAGAAATAAGCCTCTAAAATCAGCCACTAAGAGGAGAGCTCTAAAAAGTGCTGTTAGACATTTCTGTCAGAGCTCAGGAAAATCTGTAAACGTGAAGAATAAAGGGAAAATCTAAGGAAAAAAAATTGGTCCACACTAATAATACTGTATGTCGGCAGGTTCTCACTTACAACTGTGCCYACAAACAACTAATCCTGTTAATTTAATGACAGTGTTCCTCTCATTGTGCTTGACTCACTGTTGGGAGTCTGCGGCGTGCGAGACATGTCCATTTCTGGTGTGTGACCACTGCGACTCATCATCATCGACTCCTCCACCACGYTGATGCTGTTGCATTGCATCAGCTCCTGGAGCAGGTTGAAGATTTCCTCTGCCCGGGAGCACTTGAATGCAAAGATTCCTGATCCAGGGAAAAAAAAAAGGCAAAAATGACGACAAGCTCATAAAGACAGAATAGGCGTGGTGCTGTCAAGTTGCTGCTCGTAGGAATCTTGCCCACCCTGCCCTGTCTGACAGCGGCGTCCGCTCTCGAAGGAGAACAGGTTGGAGTCGTAGCCGTAGCGCCGCAGGCAGAGGTACGGCCACCGGATGGCGTCTCTCTTGCGCGTGTGGAGAATGAGCTCAGTCTGCGTGAGCTCCATGATCCCAGAGCCCAGCTCGTTGCCCTCATCGTCCACGTTGATAACCTGGAGAAAAGAGTGGCTGCTTTTACTACATTTAAGCACATTTAAGTGTCAGGCACTTATTATTGATAATATATTACTTCTGTATGTCTGCAAAACTGTTATCTCTAGTGTTTCTCATTCAAATTGCATCTTTGTCATCTACTTTCCTCATTTTTAAGCTCACACTGGGCAATGTGCTGCCACACACGGGTACAAGGACCGCACAGAAAATGAGTACAAAAAAGCAGCAGAAGTTCAAAGATACTGTTAAAAACCTTCAGAAATCTTGGAGCCAGACTACTTTAAAAGATAAAATAATGTCTGGCTGCTGGGAAGCAAATCACAAAGACATGAGACAAAGTTTAATAGATTACAGCGGGAAAAATAAGTATTGAACATGTCACCATTTTTCTCAGTAAATATATTACTAGAGGTGCTAATGACATGAAATTTTCACCAGATGT